GCCCGAGCGCCACGTTTGTGCCCCTCTGTCCCCTCCCAGGTGGGCGGGCGGGCGCTCGTGGTGCTGCGCTCCGGTGCGGCGCTCTGAAGCGATCGTCTCCATTACGAGACTGTTTGCTCGGGGCTGCGCGGCGCCGACTGGCTCCTCCCGTTTGTCCCGTCACGTCTGTGGATTGATAATTTTTGCCTCTTAAGGCGAAGGTTGCAAACCTCCTGACAGTGGTGTGAAGCGAGAGTAGTGAAACAGTGCCATTTGCCATGCCTTAACGTTACTGAGTAGAATGAAGGTTTCAGGTCTTTCAAATGGAACCTTTCAGCGGTGGTTAGAGTTTATCCGGACGAACACAACCAGGCCCCAAAAGGTTAAGAAAAGACATAACCAGGCCCTGCAGGCTGACACGCCTATATTCCCCGCACTTGGGAAGCTGAGGCAGGAGGATCGAGACCAGCCCGAACTACATTTCTAGACCTTGTCTTAAAAAACCAAGCCCAAACAAGACAAAAAAGGTGGTAGCAAACAAAAAACAAAAAAAGAGAACCAGTTATTAATTCAAGTCAAAACTGCACATGCTGGGTTGGTATTAAGCACACATACTATCTCTGAAGTGCATTTCCACTACCATGTACTACATTTCAGCTGTGTAGATATATTGCTGCATTACTGTCACTAGCTCAGAATTTAGGTTTTAGAACTTTTAACCAGCTGATCTATCAAATGAGAGGACCTCTCGGGGGGGTGCACCCCTGTAATCCTACCAACTCTGGGACGCTGGAAGATCAGAGCTTCGATACTTGCCTGAGCAATTTAGCGACTTGTCCAGGCCCTGACTCAGAATAAAAATACTATGAATGTGGTTCAGTTGAAGGCTTCGGGTTCAGTCCCTAGGACTGGAGAAAAAGAGAAGGGGTAGGAAGAGCTAAGGTGTTTTGCAGGGTTCCATTCAGTTCTGAGATCTGATGCCTTTGAATGAAAAAGGCTCCAGAAGCTTTTAAGATTTATATATTTACTTATAGTACTTCCAGCCTTAGACATCCAATCTTCCTGAAGCCATATAACAGTGGAACATTAGGAGGATGTTCATTTGTGTCTCTAGCCTGTTTCTGCTGTTTTATGGGGAAAGAAAGGAGTACATGAAAAAAAAATTTTTTTTTTTTTGTACCAGGGATTGAACTCAGGACCTTGCGCTTGTGAGGCAGGTGGCTGCACCACTGAGCTAAATCCCTGGCCCACCTGAATTTTTTTTTTTGGTACCAGGGATCCATTTTGGCCCTTACACTTGCAAGGCAGGCAGTGGAACCACTGAGCCAAATCCCCGGCCCTTGAAATGTATTTTTGAAAAGTTCTTTTATTGCTTCACCCCTGATATCAAAAAGTATAGTTCAAAAATTACTTTATCTAGTTATATATCGTTCCATTCCTTTAAGGTTTTTGTATAAACATGAGCTTTGATTTATTATTTTGAGTTTTAGTTTCTGGGCTGTCGTGTGTGTGAATTCATGTAATTTTCATTCATAGATGCTTTGTAATATGACTACACAGAAGGCACTGCCTGGCACACAGGCTTTCAGTAAATTTTTATTGAGTGTGGTATTTTGAGCTTTTAAGACAGTATCTACTAACAGAATGTTAAATATCAGAAAGCATGTGTCAGGTGATAAGGTGAGCAGTGGGGACAGTCAGTATTTCAGTCAGGAGAGAGCATTGCATGTCTCAGGGCTTGAATTTTGTACTCTTGAGTTTGAGACCTGGCTTGCTGTTTACCATCTAGGCTTTGGAGAACTTAATCTTGGCCTCGCTCAGTTTCTTTCACCTTAAAGGGGGAAAATAGAACACATTTCACAGGATTGTGTGGATTAAATAGAACAGTTCCATTGACATGATACTGACTCCTTCAGTTCTCTATAAAAGTCAGATATTACTGTTTTTGCTTTCAAGTGGCAAGATTAAGGTTAGTGGGATCAGGAAAACAGAAAGACAATTGAGAAAAAGCTAATAGTGTGATATACAGAGGATACATGGGTAGATTGCTCTTGCTAAAAACAAGGGGGGCTTGGTAGAGCAGTGGTCTGAGAGAGCTGGAAAGAGAAGTTCTGGCAGTCTTGTTTCCAAGATAGGCAGTTTGGATCCTTACAGATAGAGTAGAATGAGAGAAGTAAAACTATTTAGTTGGGGTTTTCTCCTTGGTTTGGTTTTTTTTAGGTTCAGACCTGAAGAAGTTACTTGCATGAAGGAAGTTTGCAGATTGTCATGGAGTGCTAAAGTTCTTGTCACTAGACCCAGTAAGTCTTTTATTTTTTAGTTTTTGATTTATTGAGACAGGATGTCACATAGTTCACGCTGGCCTTGAACTTATAATGGTGTATAGCCCAGAGTAGCCTCAAACTTGTGGCATTCTTCCTCAGCCTCCCAAGTACTGGAATTAGAAATGTGCACCATCGCACCTGAATGACCCAGTAAATCTTATGTAATATTTTAACTGATTAATTTGATTGCGCCCTTAATAACTGGTGGCCAAAATTTGAAGTAGCTATGGAAAATCATTTAGCAACAAACTAATAAATAGCAAAACTGTCACCAGCGCAGCAAAAATACCCCGTTTTTACGACAGATATAGTCACAAAGATTAAATTGACTTGGTGAATGGTGAATTATTTGTTCTTACCTTCTCTGTGTCTCTTTTGGTGGGAAGCATTATCAAGAGTGTGAGACTAGGTGCCAGGGATTTAGCTCAGTGTCACCATGCATACCTTGCAAGTGCAAGGTTCTGAGTTTGATCCCTGGTACCAAAAAAAAAAAAAAAAAAAAAAAAAAAATGTATGAGACCAAAGAGCCTCCTTGGCAGGATCTGCTTGGAAAGAGAAGACTGAAATCTAGTACCTGAAATTTAATGTCTTTTAAAAAAAGTGGTCCTATTTCAGATGTCCAGTGGAATATACTTTTTTCTTTAAAAATTTTTTTGTTATTTAAAAAAAATTAAAAATCTCTGATCTTTTTCCTTTTTTTTAGTGGTATTATATATATTTAAAAGCTCATTGGTTTTCATTTAATGGATTTCTTTAATGCTTTAATTTAAAAATTTCTTTAATATGAAATAGTTCAAACATACAGAAAATAATATAGTGACCATGTAGTATATCTACCACCCATGGCCTTTATCAAATCTTAACAGTTAAGATCATCATTTTTATATTTTTTCTTTGATTGTTTTTTCTTTTTGGTACCAGGATCAAACTTGGGACCTTGTGCTTGCGAGGCAGACGCAAGCTTCCGAGTTTGATCCCCATACCAAAAAAAAAAAAAAAAAAAAAAAAAAAAAAAAATCTTGTCCTTTATGAGCCTTGCTTACATTAATTTCCACGAAAAAAAAAAAAAAAAAAAAAAAAAAAAAAAAAAAAATTCAATTGTGTGCTCTCTTATAAACATTAAAGATACAGTTGAAGCCATTATGAATCCTATTCCTCTTCTTACCTAGTACTTCCTTCCTACTGTCATCAGTTAGGCACTGATTCAGTTACATTTTATATATTTTTATTATGTATCTATAAATACACATTTATCTAATATAAATACTTTTACATGTATTTTACTATATATATAGTGTGTGTGTGTATATATATCTCCCATATATACACACACACACTATATATATAGTACATCTTGATTTGTTATTCAGTTTTTAAAAAATTTCTCTTTTTTTGTGCTGGGGACTGAGCCCAGCATGTTAAACAGACTGCACTGCTGAACTACACCCCTGTCCCCTGCTCAACTTTTTTGCCTTGGTACTGGGGATTGAATCTAGGGCCTGGCACATGTTGGGCAAGTTCTTTACCGCTCAGCTACATCCCCCACTCTTTTTTATTTTGAAACATGGTCTTGCTAAGTATACTTATTTTCTCCCTTGGTGGTACTGGGGATTGAACCCAAACCACCTTTACTACTGATCTGCTACATCCCTAGCTCTCTTGACTTTTGTTTTGTTTTTGTTTTGAGCCATGGTATCAGTAAATTGCCCAAGCTGGCCCGGAATTTGCAGTCATTCCACTTAAGTCTCTTAAGTAGTTGGGACCATAGGTGTGTGTCCTCACTCTCAGCTTCCAGTCCAGAATTTAATCAGAAATCATGAGTTACACATTCAGTTGCCATAGCCTGGTTGGTTTTTGTTTTTGTTTTCATTGTTGATATAACCCAGGGCCTCCTGTGATAGGCAGGTGCTCTACCATTAGGCTGTATTCCTCTCCCTTTTTATTTGTTTATTTTGAGACAAGGCCTAGGTAAATTGCTGAGGCTGGCCCTGAACTTTCAATCCCTCTCAGCCTTGGCCCCCTGAGTAGTTAGCTATGTTTATAGGCATTTGCCCCTGCACCCAGCTTTTTTTAAAAAGGAATATTTAGGAATCATTACTAAAGGAGCTGTAAGACTTGAATAAGCTAAAGTGACTCCATGCTAATAGGCCAGAGACTGTGCTTCTTCATATGCTAATTGCTAATTTGGCTAACAGCCCACCCAGGGGCAAATGGTATGACCAAAGGTGACCATAGAACATTTCCTGCATGAGATTAGCATGTGTTTAGAATCTTGTCCTCTGGTAGTTCTGTGAACGCCCTGACTTTTTGTTTAGAAAAACCCTATAAAAAGGACCTTAGCCCCTGAGCAGTTGCCTCTCTGAGCTACCTGGCTCCAGGAGTGCCCTCTGGCCAGACTAATAAAGGTCTATTTACCATCTAGCCTTGTGTGTTCCCTTCTGGGTTTCTCGTTTCTCTGTCAAGCTCCTGGATCCTTGCTGGGTGTTAGGACCCAGCATGGTGGAGGCCTTTTTGGCTGTTCACGCTCCATGGAGTGGAAGTGAGACTGTAAATCTTACAGAGCAAAGTGTTATATATGGACTGAATGTAAAAATTGTGATTTTTGGAAAAACAAAGCAATAGTTTGAAGATATAAGTAATTCAATCTTGTGTTTGTGTATATATGTATACTCTCACTGCTCTTTTGTGAAGAGCAAGTATATTATTATTATTTCATTCAATTTTTTGAGACAGGGTCTCACTGTGTAGTTGAGACTGACCTGGAACTCACTGTGTATCGCAGGCTGGTCTCGAACTCACAGTGATCCTCCTGCCTCAGCCTCCCATGTGCTGGGATTATGGGCATGCGCCATCACGTCCAGCTGCAAGTATATTATTTATTGGTTTGCATGGATTCTTAGCCACATGTAGGTTGAAAACAGACATGGGTATTTCTTGAGCCTGCTATGACCATTACTGTTGTCCACCCTCTTCATGGTCCTCTAAAGGGGAGGTCCCTGAAGAAGCCAGACTGGTCATCACCTGTTTCCTCATCAGCGTTGGATGGTTGTCTCAGAGTGGGGAATGTAGGGACAGGGGGCCCTGTAAGTAGGGAAGAGTAAGTAGGAAAAGGATAAGGTGAGAGCCTCGTTGAGCTTTATTAAATTATAGAAAATCCTTAGGCAGCTTCTGACCTGCAGCTAGATTTGAGCAATAAGCAAGACAAAGGCAAAGAAGCCAGGCCTGGGAGGTTCTCAGATAGTATGATTAATGATTAAGGAAGAATCACAGACTTCCCCTTTACTTCATCCTTAGACCTAAGCTACCTTTCCATATGGCCCTCACCCATAATTTTACCCACCACCAAAGCACAGGGAAAAGTTCCGGTCTTAAGAAATACAAGGTTAGGGTGAAAGCCTGGGAGTCAGTCAAACTCCAGGAGCCTATGTGGGACAAGGGTCTCAATAAAAGGAGCTGCAGACAAGAAATCAATGAGTATTTTCCTCTAGAATACTCCCTGCCTCTTCTGAGTAGCCATCTTTCTCCTCTCTTTCCCCCACCTTCAAATAAATCGTCTTTTATTAAAAAAAAAAAAAAAAAAAAGGTCCTGTGGAATAATGCCTGTATTCTTTTATTAAAAAAAAAAAAAAAAAAAAGAGGTCCTGTGGAATAATGCCTGTACATGTAACCAACCATCTGAGGCTAATAGAATTCACCTGATTTTGTGTAGAAATCATGAATTGGCAAAATGTAGCTCTTAATGTCAATAGCCCTGAGATTTATATTCCAATGGCTGAGCTTTTAGAGTTAGCGGCTCTTCTCATCACTAAGGCAGCAGCTATGGGCAGGCCTTGGGAACAGCTCCTGGCAGTACTCAGTTGCTCTCGTTCTCTTTTTTTTTTTTTTTTTTTTTTTTTTTGGGTATCGGAGATTGAACTCAGAACCTTGTGCTTGCAAGGTGGGCACGGTGCCACTGAGCGAAATCCCCGGCCTCTGCTGCTCTTTTCAGTGTTACCAACTGACTGCTGGCTGCTTTTGGTACCAGCGACCTTTAGTGTTACCACCTCTTAACTGTTTCCTGTCAGTCTGCTCCACTTGGGATAGAAATTATGATTAGGCAAGAATATGCCATCCAGAAAGAGGCTTTATTGGGAATTACGCTAGCCTAAGGGAAAAGAGTACACAGACACAATCTGCTAAGGGTCTGAGGAGTTGCTTATCTAGGAAAAAAGGGCTCGTGCATGTGCAGTGTCAGGCTGGTCATGAGTAGGGGAGGGCCCCCCGTGGATCTAACTGAAGAGGGCTGTAGAATCATCCAGAGAGGCCTCAGAGGTTTGTGTCCCAAACCAGTATTATCTCCTGGAGCAGCCGTGGACCCACTCTGTAGTAGCTGGCTGGCTGCAAGGTGTTTGGGGCAGTTATGGAAAAAATAACAAAAACTTAACTTTTAGGGGTCATCAGTCCTTTCTTTCCTATCAGTATAATTTCTCAGAACATTCAGAAGCAACCTTAAAGCGCTGATGTAGACTAAATATAGCATTCTATATGATACGGCAGATGTAATAGAATTCTAGGAGTAGTGGTAGTAGTGTCCAGAAGAACAAAATGTAGGGTTTTTTTTCTTTTTATTGAGTTTATTGGTACAATCTAGGTATACAATACAATTACATTCATCATTAGGATTCTGTACCTTTACATAATAGGTCTTGATTCTCATTTTTTCTGTAGGGGTTTTTTTGGTATGATTTAAAGACTAGGAACAGATGAAATAAAATTGTATTTTTTAGTTACAGCTTCAGAATAGATAAAGAGCATGTTGTTGCTAGAAGAAAAAAATAACAGCTTGTCTAGGCAGCAGGTACTGCAGTTCTCTCTCAAGAGAAGCTTTGTTATTTTCCATTAGAGAACAAAGAACCTTTTGTTCCTAGGCCTAATGTTGCAAGATTGGCAAAGCTTTATTAATCAAGTATTTGTGAACCAAGAATGAGAATTCAGAG